CGGGGGGCTGGGAATGGGAGTCTTTCTCGGCCCGCGCTGGCTCGGCTTCCTGCCCGCCCTCCGCCCTGGCCTCGGCGGGCGCTTCCTCTCACCTTCGCGGGGACGCGCGGTGGCCTTCTGGGCACCCCGCCGGCCTGTGTCCAGCGAGATCGCGGCGCCACCTGCGCGCACCACGCGGGAAACGCGCGGGCTGGACGCCCCCAGAAAGTTCTGCCTGCCGCGGGCACTGCTGCAACCGACCTTACTTCGGTTCCACCTGTTTTTCGCTCTTGCTTTCTTTTTTAACCCTGCCCTGCGATGGGGAGGTAGATTTCCAAAAGGACAGTGCCCACCAAATCCTCGGAAAAGCCTCTCTTGCTTATCGACGAGTCCCTAATTCTAAAGACGGCTCAATAAGTCACTGGTATTGACTGTGTTCCCGCAGAGTATTGATCCGCGCCCTACATTGGAGGAAAAACCTGTTTTTTTTTGGAGGGTCCCGTGGATGGAAAGCATTGTCTTTTTAATTCAGTTGATGGCGCTGGGAAAGGCATTCTCTTGAATCAGTCCATCTGATGGCAAAGCATCGGGTTGTCCTCTTGGCTGATTGACTTTTGTGATAGTTTTGGAGATTCATGAACTTGGAATCAAATCCGCCGACCAGCTGCTGGGTGGTTTTTGTCCAGTTCTTCGACTCAGAGCGTGGGATCTTAGAGCATGTGTGAAACGGGAATAAAAGTTGCAGCCGCCTGATGGAGATACTTTATCATTAAATGAGATAGTGTGTGTAAAGGAATAATCACCATACCAGGTATCTAGTGACCACTCAATAAATAACTACCACTGAAGAGCCTTTTGTTCCTGACGCTTTCCTGCAAATAAAGGTCCACCTGGGGGGGAAAAAAAAAGCCAACTGGAACTTGAGCAGTTTTAATGTAAAAAAAAAAAAAAGGGGGGGGGGGGGACTTTGAGTAAAAGTGTAAAACGCTTAGTAATAAACAATAAATGTGCAGACTTTCAAAAGCTAAAAGTTGAATATTGATTTAAATATATATATATATTAACTGTGGCCGAGCGCGGGGGCTCAAGCCTATAATCCCAGCACTTTGGGAGGCCGAGGCGAGAGGATTGCCTGAGCCCGCGGGTTCAAGACCAGCCTGGGCAACATGGTGAGACCCCCCCTCCCGTCTCTATAATAAATCAAAAAATTAGCCGGGCGTAGCAGCGCGCGCCTGTAGTTGCAGCTACTTGGAAGGCTGAGGCGAAAGGATAGCCTGAGCATAGCAGGTTGAAGCTGTGGTGGCCGTCGTGCCACTGCACTCCAGCCTGGGTGACAGAGTGAGACTCCAACTCAGAAACAAAAATTAACTGTAATCAGCGAAATAAATTATAAAGGTTAAAATATAACAAGGAAAGCTTGAAAAATAAAAAGGCTAAAATACCAACTTAACCCAAATTATTTAGTAAAATTTAAATAGTTGTGGATAGATCGGGGGTGGGAAACTAACAATTTTTTTCTAACGTTCAAATGGAAGAATATGAGAAAAGTTAAGGAATTTATATACATATAATTTTTTTTTTTCTTTTTTGAGTTGGAGTCTCACTCCGTCGCCCAGACTGTAGTGCAGTGGCACGCCCCACCACCGCAGCCTCCACCCACTGGGCTCCGGCGATCCTTCCGCCCCAGCCTTCCAAGTAGCCAGAACTACAGGTGCGCGCTACCATGCCCGGCTAATTTTTGATTTATTGTAGAGATGAGGTCTCGCCAATTTACCCGGGCAGTCTCGAACCCGCGGGCTTAGGCAATCCACTCGCCTCGGCCTCCCAAAGTGCTGGGATTACAGGCTGAGCCACCAATCCCGGCGAAATGTATGTATATATATTTATATATGTATATATATATATGTATATATATATAAATATATATATATATATATATTTTTTTTTTTTTTAGTTGGAGTCTCACTCTCACCCAGACTGGAGTGCAGTGGCCACTCCCGGCCACCACAGCCTCGACCTGCTGGGCTCCAGTGATCCTTCCGCCTCAGCCTTCCAAGGAGCTGGAACTATAGGTGCGCGCTACCACGCCCGGCTAATTTTTTTTTTAAATTTATTGTAGAGATGAGGTCTCCCCGAGTTGCCCAGGCGGATCTCGAACCCGCGGGCTCAGGCAATCCACTCACCTCGGCTTCCCAAAGCGCTGGGATTACAGGCTGAGCCACTGAGCCCGGCCGAAATTTATATTTTTATACATATTTTTTTAGTTGGAGTCTCACTCTGTCACCAGGCTGGAGTGCAGTGGAACAATCAATGGCCCCTGCAGCCTCAGACTGCTGGGCTCAGGCAATCCTTACACCCCAACCTTCCAAATAACTGGAACTGCAGGCACACACCACCACCCTGGCTAATTTTAAAAAATGTATTGTAGAGATGAGGTCTCTCCAAGTTGCTCTGGCTGGTCTTGAACCCCTGGGTTCAAGCAATCCTCTGGCCTCCACCTCCCAAAATACTGAGATTACAGGCATAAGCCACCATGTCCAACTATAAATTCATATTTTTTAAATGGCGGCTACACCTACGTTACCAAATCTTAAAGCATATTACAAAACTATAATTAGAACAGCGTGGTGTTGACACAACAATGGATGGATTAAACATGAACGGAACCGGGCTCGGTCGCTCAGCCTGTAATACCGTGCTTTGGGAAGCCGAGGTGAGTGAATTGCCTGAGCCCGAGGGTTCGAGACCCGCTTGGGTAACTTGGTGAGACCTCATCTCTACAATAAATCAGAAAAATTAGTCGGGCATGGTAGCGTGCGCCTGTAGTTCCAGCTACTTGGAGGCTGAGGCGGACGGACAGCCGGAACCCAGCGGGTTGAGGTTACGGTGGCCGGGAGCGTGCCACTGTACTCCAGTCTGGGCGACAGAGTGAGACTACAACTTAACAAAACAAAACAAAACAAAAACCATGAGTGGAATAATTGAAAGTCTAGAAGCATTCAATATACTTAAAAATCCATTATATGATAAATGTAGTATTTCACTTTTGTGGGGGAAAGGACAAATGGATAAATTCTTTAATAAATTAGACTAGGGCACTGGGCATGGTAGCTCATGCCTATAATTCCAGCACTTTGGGAGGCAGAGGCAGCAGGATTGATTGAGCTCAGGAGTTCAAGACCAGCCTGGAAGGCATAGAGAGACCTCCTCTCTACAAAAAGATCAAAAAATTAGCTGGGTGTGGTGGCATGTGCCCATAGTCCCAGCTACTGAGGAGGGAGAATAGCTTGAGCCCAGGAGTCTGAGGCTGCAGTGAGCCCTGATGGTGCCACTGCACTGCCCCCGGGTGACAGAGTGAGACCCTGACTCAAAAAATAAATAGAAATAAATAAATATGGCTGGAGAAATTAATTTGGGAAATCAGGAAAACTAAAAATTTGTTTAAACATCAAAGTAAATATAATAACCCAAAGAGATACAAACAAATTAAAGAGCATTGGAAGAAAACAAGTGAATTCTGTAGTGGGGAAGGCCTAGATATTAAGGCATGGGGAAAAAAACCAATGGCAAGGATGAGTAAATATATTTAAATAAATATGCAAAATTTAAATACATCAAATATTATCAAAAAGCAAATGATAAATTCAAGAAAATGTTTTTAACAAATGTGAACAAAGCTTGCTTTTACTATATAGACCTCTTACAAACTGAATAAAACACTGACTCCCTACATGCAGAAATGGACAAAGGACATGATCAGGCATGCCATCAAAGAAGAAATTCACAGCCTGGGCAACATAGCAAGAACCTGTCTCTACAAAAAAAGATTAAAAAAAATTAGCCAGGAGTGGTACTTGTAGTCCCAGCTACTTGGGAGGCCAAGGTGGAAGGGTCACCTGAGCCCAGAAGGCTGAGACTGCCGTGAGCTGGGATCCAGACCACTACACTCCAGTCTGGGTGACAGTGAGACCCCAACTCAAAAAAAAAAAAAAAAAGAGAGAGAGAGAGAAAATTCATATGGATAAATGTTTTTTAAAATGCTCATAGACCCTAGAAAATACAATAAAAACCTTTCTAACACAGAGCAGTACATCTTTGTCAAGGATTTTTTAGCAAGGATACAGTGTTGAGAATATAAATAAATATCACCTGAAAGATAACATAAATCAAAAAGTTTTAAAAGGTATAATTTGATCCAACTATTCCACCACTGGAAATATAGTCTAAAAACATGAGCAGATGAATACAAAGATTGATTTACAAGGGGTTTCATCAAAATGCTTTATCATTATAGTTAACTATTAGAACAGGGAGCTGATCAAAAATACTGATTTGGCTCTCAGAAAAAAAATTTTTTTTTAATTGGAGACTCACTG